AATTGGGAGATGTCTGTTGGCTAATTTTAGGTGTGTGGATATCAGCTCTCTGAAGGGTTTTAATCAGAGAGTTGATGTATATGTTAAAAAGCAATGGTGCTAAAATACAACCTTGTTTCACCCCCTTGACAGTCTGAATAAAGTCGGAAAGGTCCCCTTCCCAGTTACATCTTACTCTAAGGCTGATTTTATCACATAGTTTATGAATTAGGAGCAAGAGTCTTTTATTTATAGAGGATCTGCTCAGAATGTTCCAGAGTCTTGCCTTTGAAATATTATCAAAAGCTGCCTTAAAGTCAATAAAGGCTGCATATAGATTCAAGTCAGAGTGGCTTGTGTATTTGTCTGCCAGATGTTGAAACACTAGGCAATAGCCTATAGTAGAATATCCAGGTTGAAACCGTGCTTGCTCAGGGTCAATGAATCCCTCATCAGTTACCCAGGTTGGGAGTTTGATGAATAAGTACCTGGCATATAGTTTACTAATGATGTTCAGTAAACTAATTGGGCTATAGTTAATTGGATTGTTCCTATCACCCTTTTTATATATAGGGACAATTATGGCTTTCCCCCAGTCCTCTGGAATCTTGGCTGTGTGGTTAATATATGAAAATAAAGGGGCCAATACAGGGGCCCACCAATTTGAATTGGATTTAATTAGCTCAGGGGGGATATGGTCACTCCTGGGCGCTTTACCACACTTAAGCCGGTTTTTAACTTCCTTGCACGTGACTGGGGACTACTGTGGTAGTGAGGATAAAGGTATATCCATCGCATAGGTGTGAGCATGCAGATTGCTATAAAGGGCTTGGAAGTGATGTACCCAGGTACTTGAGGGGATGCTACAATGCAACTGTGTAGTGTTGTTATGTGAACAATTTGGTATAATATGCCAGAATAAGGAGAGATTTTTGGACTTTGTAACTTCGATTAGCTGTGACCCTTCTACCATATAATAAAAATAACCTTTAAAAATCATGCCTCATATTCATAATCCATTCACATTAGTCTAATAAAATAATTTTTTTATAAGGGGTAGCAGAATTCAGTATTTCTGTCTTCACTAGTTTGTAGATAGAAGCAACAGACAATGATAAACATAAGACAATGTAGGCGCTTTTTTCAGAGCAGGACCTAATATGCCAGAACTATGAGATAATTTATAGATTATCTTTCTCTCAGAAATGAAACATAATAGTGAGAGTGTCAATTGTTTCTACTGTTTGTGAAATCGTAGCCTTGGGGGCTTTTACATGTTCTGGCTGGAAAACACATTTGGAAGTTTGAAGTAATGTCATGGCTCCATCATAAAAGAGCTGCCAACATAGTACAGTCAAACATAAAGCATGTATTTCCTAGCAAAGCAAAGTGATGATCAAAAAGACAAATATCTTGACCAAGAACTACCCCCACAGAAATGCATTTGTTGGAAAGACAACAATTAAAGCGTAAAAGAGATGAAATTAACTAAATATTATGAGATAGAGGTGAGATTTACTTTTCAGACCACAGATTCATGCATTCAAATTGATGGTTTTCTGTTTTATATAATTGATATAATATGAAGTATATTTTAATATGTATTAAAATTAGGACAGTAAAATGCACATATCCAAGAACCTGAATTTAAAAAAAGTAAGTACTTCACAGGTACATGACGCAGCATTTATGGGCACAGTGGTTCCCACAAGGATCAGATTGCCTACCATGCTGTAATCAAATCAGTAATGAAATACAGTCTGGATAATTCTAGGGTTTTTAAATTAATACTGCACATATGGCAGCATGTAATAAGTCTTCTATCCCCTAATTAATTTACCTGTTTTACAGATGAAGCTAAAAGAGAACTTTTAAATAGTTAAACATAAACAAGCTAAAGTATAGTATAAACAGAGTACTTTTACCTGATATTTGTTTTAGGAGAGCTCTTTTATGTCCATTAACAGCAGCAGCATGAACCTGAGATGCTAGTGAGGAACCACTGAATAGCCACGTTTCAGAGACATTCATACTTCTTCTGGAAAAGTCAAAAATAAACCCTGCATAAACACAGTAATAGCTGCAGTAACAATTATAGTAATAACTTTTCCACAAGTTGAAACTAATTTATTTTGGTGAAAACAATCTCTAGACTACTTGTATTTAGATATAGTGGTGCTTACAAGTTTGTGAACCCTTTTGAATTTTCAATATTTCTGCATAAATATGATCTAAAACATGATCTGTTCTCTACACAAGTCCTAAAAATAAAAAGAACCCAATTAAACAAATGAGTCCAGAACACTATACTTGCTCATTTATTTATTGAGGAAAATGACCCAAAGCTATATATTTGTGTGTCGCAAAAATATGTGAACCTCTAGGATTATCAGTTTATTTGAAGGGGAAATTAGAGTCAGGTGTTTCAATCAATGGGATAAGAATTAGGTATGAGTGGGGGAAGTCCTTATTTAACATACCTTGGAATTCTGGGAATTCACTATCAAAATCTGATCTTTATTACAAGGTATGTGCAAATGTGTCATGACTCAGAAAAAGATTTCGGAGGATGTCTGAAAAACAGTTGTTCACTCACCAGGCTGGAAAAGGTTACAAAACTGTTTCCAAAGAGTTTGGACTCCAGCAATCCACTATCAGGCAGATTGTGTACAAATGAAAGCAATTCAACACCACTGTTACCCTCTCCAGGAGTGGTTGACCAACCAAGATCACACCAAGAGCAAGGTGTGTAATACTTTGGGAGGTCTCAAAGAAGCTCAGGGTTACATCTAAGGAATTGAAGGGCTCTCTTGTACTGGCAAATGATAGTGTTCATAAGACTCTTCATGTCTTATGAAGACATGCATGGCAGGTTTACAAGGAGAAAGTCACTACTCTCCAAAAAGAACAATGCTGCCTGTCTACAGTTAGGTAAAGCCTTAGTTACTTATGGTTCAGTGTCACAGGATCCTGCTTATATATGTTCAATTTACATATATGTACACATAGAATGTCAGGTTCAGCCCAAAGAACTCCACGAGACAGTACAGACACAGTTCTGTTGCGTTTATTAGCTTCCACCTCAAAGACAGAAATCTCTCCAGATTGAATCTAAACTTCCCAAACCAGCAAGCCAAAGCACCGTGAATTCCTTAGGGTGGTGCCAGTCTCATCTTCCTAACCTTCCCACGCTCCTGTTGGGGGCTAAGGGAATGCTTATCTCCCTGAGCGCAGCCTTCATCAAACCATTCCATCACACAGAAACACTTAAAGGAACATACTTATTAGCTCAATGTAGTCTATTCTCCATTGTCAAAGTTTAAAGGAGGGGGGGTACAATGTTAAATCCAGTCTAAAAGGACATATTCCTTGTATTCCTGGACATTCTTGATTTCCTGAACTGGACTGATTCTCAGTACCAGCAAGCAGGTGGACCCTAAGATAATGTGACCAACTTGTGGTCAAGCAATGGAAACAACCAGAAGTAAGATCTGCATAAATACAGAATGGACATTTTGAGTTCCTTTGAGAAGATTCAAGAAGGAAGTAAGCCAAAGGCCTATAAAAACCTTTTATACAGGTACAGGAGGAGAAACTACAATGATGATCATTATCTGGGCTAGATTCCCAGATTTCCACTTTTCCAGGCTGGAACATGTGGAAAAATAGATTTACTTTCTGTAGTTTGTATGTGATTTACTTTCTGTAGGTTCTATAGATTTACTTTCTGTAGGTTGTATGTGATAGGAAAATACTAAGCAATTGCTAATGTGATACCTAAATACATTGAATCATTTATTAATATTTCCTTTTTTTTCCTCTCAGTTACTAATTTGCAACTAAAAAGGTTAAATAAAGTGACTATTTAACAGGTCTCCAAGACTCTCATTTTGTACAGAATACTCACAAAACTTTCTAACAGGCATGTCTACTTTCTGTTTGTATCATTTCTAATTTGTCTCTCCACATGTAACTTCACATGGGGCCCTTGGCTCAAAAAGTATACAACAGTGACTTACTGAATCTTAACCTAACCTACTTCATGAAGAGGGTGTAAAAAAAAAAAAAGACTCACAAAACACTGCCTTTCAGCATTTCTTTCTTTAAAGTCTCAAACTGTTTTTAATGTGCTTCCCCATAACATTATTTCATGTTTATTCCCTATAGCATCACTTCATGTTTATAACTCTTGCATTCTGATGGTTTTTACTGAATTTTAATGTAAAGTACCTTGAATCTTTCTGATTTGGTGGCAATGTAAGTACAAGAAATAATAATAATATCCCTAGAGAGAAAAATACAAGCTTATTAAAAATGGTGGCTGGCAGCTATAGAAAAAAAAATCAGCAACAATTCTATATTCAAGAGTAAATACTAGAGAATGGTTTGCTCAGTTAGGACACATATACTCTGCTACTTTCTTTTGACAAAGAGCATGAGATGAAACCAATACTGACACAATGTGTCCTTAATTTCCAGAATAAAGCTAATATTAAGATACAGAACTCTATCTTCACTACCATCAATTGTGACCGTTCCTAAAATGGAGTGTATTTGTGATAGTAAAAACCCTGGAGTTGATTACATACAAAGAAAGAATGACAAAATAACTCATGCCCCCATTGTCGCCCGACTGAGTGCTTGCAACCAAAATAGGCCTCTGAATACAAGTCAGAAACTCCGTTATACAGTTCACTCGCCTATTTATTATTTTCTAGTCTTTTTCTCCTCCTTTTACAGAAAGAAAGAGGACCCAAAGACGTTCTTTCCTTGACAGCTAACAGAATAATCTCACCCTCACTCGTCGCTCCAAGCATGCAAAAAACTCAGAAACATGCTTCATTCCACTTCACAAACTTACCTACCTACGTTTTCAAGAGCTAAAATTACAACCCTTCTTCCGCGCCCGGCAAAGTTACTTCCGTCGGTGGCCGAAGAGGGTGCTCCTCCGAGTACAAAACCAGTCGCCTCAGAAGTAAACTACATTTCCCAGAGTCCTTCACGGCTGCACTTCAAACTCGGAAGTTATGGATGGGTTGGCGTGAAAGAGGCGGGCGGTGTGAGTGCAAGTGAGGTCGGTTTTCCCCTCCTCCTTTTGGTAGAACTTGTCTGCTGCTGTGCGATTTTTTCGGAGACCGGGGGTTAGATTTCATCGCTTGCCTGCTTCACTCCCTCTCCCGAAGCCTAGCCATCCTCGACCATGAGAACCGCCGCCATCTTTCCTGAGCCCGGCTGTTGCCTTCTCGTTTTTCTGGTGAGCTAAGGGGGAGAGTAGCGGAGATTGAGTATCGGGTTGCCTGTTTCACTCGTGGGAGCATACAGAAAAATGAATAATGGATGTTTGCGTGGTGGGCGAAAGAGGGTGTGTAGTCTGTCATATTTGCCACTTGCTGTCGCGAATTTCCTCTCCCCGGGTGAGGAAACCGGTACCGCGGGAGCCCAGCCGGGCGTGGTGGTGCCGCGCTGGTGTGGCTCCGTCTGATAGGCTGCGAACTTTTCGGACCCGGAATCTGTAGCCGGCGACTGGGCGGGGTCCGAATGGGTCGGGGCAGTGGTTGGTACAGCACCCAGCACGATAGCTGGTCCTCGGGGAGCGCCGTGTTGCCTCCTCCTTTTTGCCTTAAAAGCCAGTTTTCTGTCAGTTTTGATCAGTTTACAACGTTTCAGAAGAAAAGATAACGTTCGTGGCGAGTTTGCTTTAAAGCATATCGGTCTATAAAAAAGCGTCAACTTGTTTCTCGCGTCCTGAGTTCCGGATCGTTTCATATCCTTTGGATAGAGGCGGCCGTCCCATGTGTGACTCCAGTTTTTCAAGTATATGATCAAGTGATTGTCATATTACATGCTGTATGGGGTTGAATAAACATACAGATGTATCAAAAGGTACTGAACACGTATTAACTGCAGGTTGATACTGATGCAGGGTGGATTTTAAATTAGCTGTCAGTCTAGAGTTCAAAATAGAATTTGCTTCCTACCTTTAGCCATTTCTTTTCTGCCAGGATGCCCTTCAACAAATTAGCAAAAGAGAGTTCTCCTGGAAGATGCTGAGTATCACATTATGCACTACCTGCTGATCTAGTCAGTTGGTCTTAAATGGAAGATCCTGGCCCATCACTTGTATTGCACTCTCACACTCACTAGCGCTGATGATGTTACCTGGTTGGGTAATAAAATGTCTGCAAGCAAACAACCAAACTCAGAAAGTGCCAAGGACTCCACAAAATCCCACCTGCTGGCCATTTAGCATCCCTTTATATTTCGTATACAGAAGCTATCTTGTTTCTTACCTCAAATACAAAGTATCTTGGGCCAGCCCTACTTATGAGACAATGGCATACTTTATCTGTTTAGATTTGTTTAATGATTCTGTCAAATAAAGGGATAGTTTTGATTTGTTCCTGAAATGGAAGATGATCTTTAACATTGCTACTTAAAAAATTATTTTGTGTGCTTTTGAGTCAGTGTTGACTCCTGACAACTGCCTGGACAAGTCCCTGCAGTTTTCTTGGCAAGATTTTGGAAGTGGGTTGCCATTGCCTTCTTCCTAGGTATGAAAGAGAATGACCGACCCAAAGATTCCAGACTTAATCTTTTAGGAAAATTAAACTTACACAAACTTGTGTAACAGTATACAACTGGTATATAACAGCCCTTCTAGCAAACTTTGTTATCCAGATAAAGCTGTATATACTGTTTTGTTTTGTTCTAGTCAGTGTTGACTCCTGGCAACTGCCTAGACAAATCCCTACAGTTTTCTTGGTAAGATTTCAGAATTGATTTGCCATTGTCTGCTTCCTAGGGCTGAGAAAGAGTGATTGGCCCAAGGTCACCCAGCTGTCTTTGTGCCTAAGGCAGAACTAGAACTCATGGTCTCCTGGTTTCTAGCCTGCTGCCTTAAACACTACACCAAACTGACTCTTACACCTCCATACAGTTAAATAATTCAAAAATTGGTTTTGCTTACTTAGATGAACTTTAGTTTCAGTGAATGTAAAATAAAGAGTTCAGTTCTGGGATTTGTACAAACTGAGAATTAATGTCAAACCCAATGCATTAGACATTCACACAGCCACTATCTATTAATTGGACAGCAAACTCACTACCTATTTTTGTTGTTTTAGTAAGAATGATACCTTATAGTTCACACATTTCTTCCATGGATTTAATTTTTTTCCAAATTACATTATGTTGCATTTTGGAGAAGATGAATATAACAAGAGTCTCTCTTGATGTTTTTTACCTTCTGTTATGGTCTACTGCAGGGAAGACCCAGTCTTTCTCTGAAACTCTTGTGTGTATAATGAAGGAGTCAGTGAAGCAGACTGAAGTAACCACTTGTAGGACTATACATCATGGCAATTATCTTTAGCCTCTAGTAGCTAATTCATTTTTTCTTGCATGGTACTTGTATATAAATCCAAGCCTGGCTGCTAAAGTTCTTCACCTTGAATACTCTTTAGGCTTAAAGACAACATCTTCTCAAACAGGATGGGTGATGTAAAGAGAGTTGGGACCAAAATCCAAACACACATATTCCTATGATATCATGGAGTGCTTAGAAAAGAGCAGCTTCAGATTCCAGGAGCTAGCTTTCCCTGACAGCCATATTTAATCACCCTGTAATTTCCCCACAGAGGAAACTTCAGGGAAGTTAAAACAGGGTCATTCTTGCAAGTACTCCACTATCTTAAACTGCTTTGGTCACCCTACACTTTTCTCAGAGGGAGAAACCACTGAGAAGGGAAAAAAAGAGCTGTGCTTGCCAGTCTTTAGGATCATAAATTTGGAAGAAACTTTTAAGGCTATTGAGTCCAACCCCTTGTTCATTGTAGGAATCCAAATGATAAATTATTGTTCAACTTCTGCTGTAACACATCCAATAAAAGAGAGCCTGACCTCCTCTTGGATAATTGGTTTGAATTTGTATTGTTCTTACTGTCCAGAAGTTCTTCCTAAATCCACATGGAACCTGCCATCCTATAACTTAAATCCATTATTCTGTATCCTGCATTCAGATATTTGAAAAGTACTATTATTTTTCCTCAGTCTTGGAAAATCAACATTCCCATCATAACACTTAATTTTTAGTCCCCTGATCAACTTCATTACTCTTTTCTAAACCTTACCCAATTTTTTTAGATTTTTTTTTTTTGTCGTGCCTTTATTATTTTTATAAATAACTCAAGGCAGTGAACATACTTAAATACTCCTTTCTCCTCCTATTTTCCCCACAACAACAATTCTTTGAAGTGAGTTGGGCTGAGAGAGAGTGACTGGCCCAAAGTCACCCAGCCGACTTTCATGCCTAAGAACTCACAGTCTCTTGGTTTCTAGCCTGGTGCCTTAACCGTTAGCCCAAACTGGCTCTTTTGAATTGTGTAATACACACAATTGGACACAGTACTTGATGAGGTAAGAGCCAGTTTGGTGTAGTGGGTAAGGCACCAGGCTAGAAACCGGGTGACCATGAGTTCTAGTCTTACCTTAGGCCTGAAGCCAGCTGGGTGACCTTAGTTGCCAGGAGTTAACACTGACTCAAAGGCACACATACACATACACTTGATGAGGTATCTGACCAACGTAGAATAAAGTGGGATAACTACTTTTCATAATTTTGAAACTATGTTTCTTCTATTTGCCTGTTTTGCACCCATGTCACACTTCTGGTTCACATTCAGTTTGCAACCAATTACTATTCCAAGGTCTTTTTCACAATACTAGTGCCAAACCAGGTATTCACTATTCCAGGTTTTTTTTCCCCAAACAGGGTTCCACATATTTGAGGAGGGGGTCTCAAATGTACTCAGCCATTTTCCCATTTAACCTGTTATGTCATCAGTGTTTACAAGCAGTCAGTGCAGGAGAAGACTGGCTGACCTTCCCTTACCACATACACATGGACAAAACCCAATTCTTGGCCTGGCCCCAAACTCCAACAAACATTTCTAACTTGCCTAGCAGCACAAGAGGATCAGAGTGAGTCCCTCCTCCTTCTTCACTTTCCTTGTTACAGAAATTTGTGTATTGTGTCCCCCCCAAGAGGTCTGCTTTATAATCAGAATGGCATCCTGTGCATATCTACTTAGAAGTAAGTCCCACTGAGTTGTGTTGGAATGAATAAATTTAGGGTTGCACTGCTCAGCTACAGTACATGTGTGTCTCAAATCCCTTCAAAATGAAAAACATTTGCAAAAGCAGGCAGGCAGGAAGGAGGAAGGTGGGTGCCTAAATGGCTTTAGTCAGGCATTCACAATGGGGAAAAAATCCAGTTTAATGTTTATGGACACTAGGCCATCAGCTTTCCTAAGGAAAAGTTTCATTATAAATGGAGGTTTATATATAATTTTCCAGCTTCCACAATATTAATTTTCCAGCTTCACACTATTAAACTATCATACCCATCCTAGATATATACTCCTCAGTATATGAATATTATTTTTATTTGTTTTTGTTATTAGGCTTAATATAGGTAATACAAACATTTCTCTAGCTAAGAATAATTGGTTACAAACTGGTATAATTGCAGACAGTACAGAAACAGGTAAAACAGAAAAAATGAAACAAATTCCAGTGCTGTAATTTGAACATCCATTTTTGTGAAATTTGAATTTTTAACATATAAATTTGCATTGATAAATTAGAAGCACAAACTTTATTTTATTGCTAGTTTTCTATCACTAGCGTTATGGCTCTTGTTCAGGGTTCTGGGAATTTTTTTTTAAACTAACAGGTTCTATGTCTAGAAAAATTTGCATATCTGTGCCTATTCCATACTTGTGCATTTCATGTACATTCCATAAATGAGGATCTTTACATTGTCTCTATTGGTAGTCCTCAAGTTACGACAGCAATTGGGACTGGATTTCTGTCACTAAGTGATGTAGTTGTAAAGTGCAAGGTCGGGGAGGGTGCACAAGTGAGGGAGACTTATCCCAGTGACTTGCAAGTTTCCCTGCCAGATTCCCTATTGACTTTCTAGGGAAGCTGGCAAGGAAGGTTGCAAATGGCGATCACATGATTGTGGGGTGCTTGGCAACCGATCATAAGTGCGAATGGGTTGCCAAGTGCCCAGATCGCGATCATGTGACCACAGGGGTGCTGGGACAGCCAGAACTCCCAGGACTAGTTGTAACCATCATCTGTTCAGTGCTGTCATAACTTGGAACTGTTGCTGACTGAATGGTCATAGGTCGAGGACTACTTGTATTAAATCTTATTCTGTTAATTTCAGTCAATTATTTGACCTATCAA